TCTTCCTATGCTCACATTCCCGTGTGTGGGCACTAAAGGAAATGCTCATTTCACCTACCAGGGGAAGAAAGTTTGTAATTTGAAAACCATAATAACTTCCTTTTACAATATTATGTGTCTGAGAGAGACTAGCTAAAATCTATGCAGTGGTTCCTCTTGAATGTTTCTGATTTCAATCTATGAAGGGTCAGTGCAAGCAAGAAATTGTTATATGGAGAGACAAATGCCTGCCAGCAGCCATATAAAAGAGGAGTTTTCAACATCGATTCCGAAAAGTTGTCACTGTAATTATAACTGAGTAATAAAAACTATGCACAACCTGAATATAGATTTTATATCTGAAGAGAACAATAAAGTTATGATCCACTTTAGATTCTTCGCTTGACCAGCATAAGGCCTATAAAATAGTTGCTAGCTTCTAAATATGGCCCTCCAGCCATTTCTGCCTGACCCTTGGGGATCTCCTCAGGTCACATACCCTTCCCAGTCACATCTTCTCTCACCAGGCCACCTCTCTCACTGGCCTTGCTTCATACCCTCCTTGAATGTTTTTGTGTGCCTTGAATGTGTGCTTCAATTATTATAATGACTCCTTGCTTGGATGGATGGAGGATAGAAAGCTGGAACGTGTGCAGAGGAGGGCAACCAAAACGGTCAAGGGTCTGGAATCCAAGCCTTATGAGGAATGGTTGAAAGAGCTGGGTATGTTCAGCCTGGAAAAGAGGAGATATGATAGCCATCTTTGAATATCTCAAGAGCTGTCAGATGGAAGAGGAAGCAAGCTTGTCTCCTTCTGCTCTGGAGGGTAGGACTTGAACCAATGGCTTCAAGTTACAAGAAGGGAGATTCTGGCTAAACATCAGGAAGTAATTTCTAACAGTTAGAGCTGTTTGACAGTGGAACAGTCTCCTTCGGGAGGTTATGGACTCTCCTTCCTTGGGGGTTTTAAGCAGAGGTTGGATGGCCATCTGTCATGGATGCTTTAGGTGAGATTCGTACATTGCAGAGGGTTGAACTAGATGACCCTTGGGGTCCCTTCCAACTCTACAACTCTATGATTCTATGAAAGGTGCATGTGAGTGTTTAGAAACTAACCTGCTGTACCAAGGTAAAATTTACATGAATCACACTGTCCACTTTTGCCTGTCACCCTGCCCACCACTTGCACGTGGGCTTCAAAATGCTGCTCGGAAGGTTGCTTCAAAAGTATAACAATGCTTTTGAAAGATCAGCATTCTAGGTCCAGTGCTATTTTTATATTGGAGTTTCAAACTCCAGTGGAAAACAGAGGTCAAAAGACTGTACAGTTATGATGATGGCGACTTCTTCGCATTCATCACCACACTGACGAAAATCAAACATGGATACCTTTCTCCATCTGAGATGGAGAGGGAGAAAGATGGCATCCAATGAAGTAGCTGACATTAAGTTATTATTATTAATGCTGATAGTTATTAAATGAATTGATCCAAGGGATCTAAGCCAGTGGCAGAGCAAGCCGATCAGGCGCCTGGGGCAGTGCCCGGGGCTGGGGCCAGCCGCCCACGGGGGTGGGGCCATCCGGGCAGGGCGCTCCACAGGGCCTCTGAGGAGTCTGCCTGCCTCCTCCCCCTCAGCTGTCCTACAACTGAGGGGGAGACAGTGGGCGGACCGTTTGGGGCAGCGCGGAGCCTGTGGGTGCACTGCAGGCCCTGCAGTGAGTGCTGCCCAGCATTTTGTCACTCCCCTCAGTGGTGACACCCGGGGTGACCTGCCCCCACCACACACCCCTTCCTCTGCCCCTGATCCAAGCTCACCCAAACTATTGACTGCCCAAGACCACATCAATTCTGCTTATTATAGCAAACCACTGCTCTTGGGATAAATTTAATTCATTTGTGCAATGTTGTAGGGCAATGATTCCCAAACTGTGAATGAACTGCTAAGTATACTGCTAAGTATATTACCTGCATGCGGCAAGATGAAGCTAATATACTCATCCTCTGTGAAGACTGTCCGCTACATTTCTATGTGAATCATTGGTCTCAAGTTGCCTTGTCTGGCCAAACACTTCTAATCCTGCCTTCAGCTAATCCCAAAACAGAGAGAGTCTGGAGAATTACTGAGGAGGCTTCTTGCTGCGCTCTGCATGAATTCCTACTCTAAGCTTGTCTCACAGGCCTATTAGAAGATGCCTTGTATCAGGTCAAACTATTTGTCCTTGTGACCTAGTATTGCCTAGTCTGATTGGCAGTGACTCATCAGGATCTGTCACCAGGATTCAATGATCCGTTTACCTGCTGCTGTTCCTTCGACTGGAAAGGCTGGATATTGAACCTGGGGCCTTCTCCATACATACCATGTGCTCGACCACTGTGGTATCATCCATCTGCTTTGACAGAGGTCCCACACAGGGGTCCTTCCCATAACCTGCTACCTGGTTCTTTAAATGGAGATGGCAAAGAACCTCCTGCATAACAAAGAACTACTTGCACAAATAACATTGGCTCTAACACTGAGCTATGGAGTCACCACCAAAAATAAATAAATGTATGGTTGAGATGGGGTGGACTCCTTTTCTGGACTAAGAGTGAAGTTTGCCTCCATTCTGAATTCAGTGAAGGAGAAGGAGACAACTATCAAAAGTTTGATACAAGGAGACTGTTCCCATAAAATGAGAAAAAGGTTACACACTATGAGGCTATGAAGCAACATTTTTTTGACCAGTCAGTGTGGTTCCATGTGAATTTGCTGCTGAAATGTGTTCAAAATGTAAGCTGAGCTGATGAAGATAAGAGCCTTAAATTTACACAAAAGACCGATCCCCTGCTAGCCTTCCTGATCCGACGGCTTTGAAGGCTACTGTCCAACACCCTTTGAAGTTAATGGGAAATGAGGAAGCCCAGCATCATCCAGGATAGGGCCATGAGAGATTGGTATAGTCTTGCTGGGCATGCCAAAGGTTGTACAGCCAAAGCCTGCTGTGCAACATGACAGAACTTTCATCCCCTTTGATCCTGCAGTCAAAGAGAGGTTTAACATTTTTTCAAAGGTGCTATCAAATCTTGTATTTTATTGCAAAGGATCCACGGTATAAAGGAAGAACTGCTTGCAGGAGACTGGACTGCCAGGCACCTTAATATCCTGGGCAGACTCACACAATGGATATGTTCTAAAGTTTCCCTCATTTTAAGTGACATTGCTTCTGGGGTGGGACTGAGAGGATAAGAACTCTCCCTTGCCAGCCCCTCTTTGTATGGCTGGGTTTGAAGTTTTACATGCTACAGAAATCACATAAAAGCAGGCTACCCTTCTGGGTAGAGAGAGCAGGAAGGACACCCTCACTTGCAGCAAGAGGAAAAGGAAGCCTGTTCAAGGGTCCTGACTGAACACATTTCTTCCATCCCATAATAGGTGACTTAAATATACTTGTTTGTGCAACCCACTTGTGCTTGTGCTGAATTTGAAAACATCACAGGGCATTGCATTCCAGCCATGGCTACTTAAATTTCTGAAAAGTTTCTGGTCCATTTCTCTAACACGGCTATGCACAAACAGTGACCCGCCATATCACACAGCAATGCAGATCATCAGTGATGAATTGTTGGTTGCTAACAGTTCAAAGGACTTCTCTGTGTGTGTGCTTGGAGTTTGATGGATCATGACAGCCTGGAGCTGACGACGTATCTCTGTGTGATCAATACATGGTCAGCACTGGTTACTGCTGACCATTAGAGTTAGCAGGGCAAAGGGCAGGTCAGCTAACAGCTAGAGGTAGGCAGAGCCAGAGGTCACAATAGGTAGATCACCCCGACACACAGTTTCTAAATGGAGTTGGGGTGAGGAAAGCAAGGCTTGGGACTGGGAGGCGGCAAAAGTAGGCTAAGAGGTGGAAGGAGGAAAGAAGACAAGGCTAGGGGAGGCTAATGTGGAAACATGCTGGAGCAAACTTATGAATGACATGGGCTGATCCATCTCAATGAAGGTTGAGAGTTTTCTGGCCCTGATCACAATTGTGGCTTTATCAGGAACCTGATACTCAGTAATTTGACAGACAAGGCTTATGCTGCATTAGTCGTAACATGTTTATATGCTATATTTCCAGGTTGCTGGAGCAAAGCTAGCCAAAAAGAAACAGTGCACCTTTTTTCCCCATTCGGCATTGCAGCACAGCCAGATTTGAGAGACAGAAGGATGGGCTTCAAGCTCACTTTTAGCCTCCTGAACGCACAGTGTAATTTTTTAAATAGACAGAAGATCTATCCGTTCTCATTAATGTGAGTGGGTGTTAATCAGCAGTTCTGAAAGTCAGGTCTAAAAATTCCCCAACAGTATGTCATTAGAACATTTTTCTATATTAATACTTATTTAAATGTTGATCATCAGTCATCTTAACAACAACAGGCATCTTTCAGAGTTATATGGGGGAATTTCTTTTTTCTTTTTGTTTTGTGGTGTTAATTGGGACTTTATCCAGCAATATGTCTGTTTATCAATCTGTTTTTATTGAAGTGTGTACCGTTAGCTGTTAACTGTTAGCCTTTTCTTATTCAACCCGAAGAGGTTTATGCTGTGTCCTTTTTTTCTCCTGAAGAACAGGAGATTAAACCATCCTTCTTTCTCATCTATACTCTCAGCAAAAGCGTAGGCATGTCAACTCAAAGGCAAGCCTTGCTGAGTTCAATGGTACTTACTCCCAGGTAAGTGGGTTTAGCAGGGGTGGGGAATCTCAGAGCCAAGAGCTGAATGAAGTCCTGCAAGCCTGTCTGTTTGGCCTTCAATACTCTGTTCAGGCCATGCCCCTTTCTCTGGTCATACCCCTGATGCAATTGCTGGACTCTGTCCTTGAATTGAACTGTGATAACACCGTTTGCATGCCTGAGTGGAGAATGGTGTATATCTGGCCTCACCTACTTTTGCTACACATGCCACTGCTATAGAATCATAGAGTCATAGAATGGTAAAGTTGGAAGGGACCACGACGGTAATCTGGTCCAACCACCTGCAATGCAGAAATCTTCCACCCAATGTAGAGTTCGAACCCACGACCTTGAGATTGAGTCTTATGCTCTACTGACTGAGCTACCAACAGGGTCTCCAAGGCTGCCGTACTGTTGCTGTTGGCATTGAGAGACAATGGAGTGCACGTTCCGACAAAAGCTAAAGACATGGAAGGCAGCTTAGACAGGCAGCAGTGATGAAATTCAATATAACTGGGCACTCAGGCAGCAAAGAGGAGCGAATAGCATATTCTACCATTCACCTATCTGCATTGCTATCCCCATAAACAGGAGTGGCCTATCCCGTTTGGTTGCCTGAGGTGGCACAGGAAGTTGCTGCCTCCCATCCCTGCCAAAGCCTCGCTTACTGGGACTGTGTGACCATGGCAGCAGCGGATTCTGGTGAGATCTCATGTGTCACGGTCTAGTCTACGGGCAATTGAAGTCCTAGCTGAGGACGTCGGGACCAGGGGCAAGATGGCGGGGTGGGAGCAGGAACAAGAGTCCAGAAGCCAGGGGTCTGAGGATCAGGAAGCAAAGAGTCATGAAGTCAAGGGTCTGAGGATCAAGAAGCGGGGAGTCAGGAAGCTGAGGTCCAAGGATCAGGAAGCAAGAAGCCAAATGCAGCAAGGCAGGAAACGTGTTGCTGTGGGGGGGGGCACCAGTTGGCGCATTGGAAGATGGCCGACAATAACATCTCTCCGACTCACATGAGGTAATTAAGAGGCTGCTATGGGAAGTATGCAGTCTTCCTGACCCCCCAAGGAGATGGGGGGGACTGCCTTGCCAGCGGTGTCCATAATGCACCCCCGGATTCGAATGAAGGGGGTGCCGGTCACTTGGCACCAGCCCTCGGTGGAGTCAGCTCTTCCTGACGCTGTCTCCAATCAGCGTGTGCTGGTTTGCTTTAGCTCGAAAATATAATTGGAAATATATAATTGGAAAGAAGCTAAAGCACATACATCAAGCAAAGTTCGGGAGATAAGACTGCTGATTAATGGATCTCTGGGATCGAAGCGGCGGGCGGAACAAATAAATCAAGTGATGAAGCGCCATTAAGAGACTGGTATGTCTGGAGTGAAGAAGGGGGGTGGAGGAAAAAACTTTTCTTTTCTTTGCCTTATGTGCGTATTAATAACCCTCCACCCCAAAGAAAGAAGAATCGTCGTATTTTATTAATCACAAGCAGGAATTTAAGAGCTGTGTGGGGTGAATTAATGATCAAAGAGAGGATTGGTAAACATCAGAGAATGGAAAAATTCTATGACGCAGTTTTAAATGGCGTCTCGCAAGACAGGCTTGTCTAAGAAAGATGGGGGGAGGAGGACCAGGATCATTGGAATGTGAATGATAATTCGAATGCGATCTTAACCTGGCAGAGCCCTCTATGAGATATCTGGCAAGCCTGGGAAAACTAAAGGGCAGACCGAGGATAAATTTTTGAAGGAGGTGTCGAATGGCGGCTGTCCCTATGAGATATGACTTTTGGAGTGTGTAAAACCCACACAGACGATGTTTGCTTCCAACCTGCTTGTGAAGATTATCAGAGATCGCAAAGAAAGGAATATATGACAACAACAAGAAGATGAAGAAAGTAATAAAGAGACTATCTGGACAGAACTGGATAGAACTGTTTAATTAAAGCAGTAATAGAAGTGATGTTTGGACCCTCGTTCGGAGCTTGATGTATGGGTACCCCCAACAAAATTTTAAAATCTGGCTGTATAATTTGGAACTAATGTGATTTGAAATAATGTGATTTGATTGGCCTGTTAATAAAAATTATGTTAAAAAAAAAAGGAAATGTGTTGCTGTGGTAAAGAGCCAAAGGGAAATGCTGACCTTATATCCCTTCCCAGCTCTTGCCACCAGGTGCAGTGAGTTAGCAAGTGGCCTCACCTGTGCAGCCACGCCTTGCCTCTCCAGAACAAACCTAGGAAGGCCCCAGTCCTGCGAAGCCCTACTGGTCACAGGGCCTGGCTCCTACACGCACTCCTGACATCATGAGAGTTCCATTAAATCTTGCCAGAAGCTGCCACATGACTCTGGTGGTGGCAGCACCAGGGGTGCCACCCCCATGGGATTCCACTGCCTGAGATGTCTGTTCTGGTTCACCTCATGGCAGGCTGGCTCTGCCCATAAATCTCCATGGGTTGGAGGGTGGAGTCTGAAATGGTTTTGAAACCCTGCATAATTGGGGATCTAGAGCACTTCAGATTTCATCCTCCAGATGAGATGGGGATAGCAAAGCAGAGGTGGAGCTAGTGAGCTTGCCCTGCTTCCTTGTAGGATTTACATGCAACCAGCATGCCAAGTGGACTTCCCCTAGCATATGTGAAGACGGGCTCCTGTAGTTTGAGTAGGTGAGACCAACAGTGGGGCCAATGGTCAAGAAGGCGGTTTCTGCACGTGCTGTAGAGGGAAGTGAAGGACCCAGTGCTTTACATTTTTGATTTTTCAAAATTAAAGTGCATTTTTACAGCCCCCCCTTTTTACTTTTATTTTCTGGATAGTTGCACATTTCATACCCTTTGTTTTAAAGGGGACCCAGAGCAGGCATAAACTGTTGTCTCTGCTGTGGCCTTAGCAACCACCCAGAGGTGTCAAGAGCTGGTTCTTGCTACGAAGGAGTCATGCGACAGGGTGAGTCCAATCAACACATCATTCCATAGCATGTGCAGAATCCACTATGGGCCATTTTGGTCCCTACTCTAACCTCCCACAACCACCATCCCAACAATGGCAGGGCCTACCATTAGAATGCTGATAAATCCCATGGGAATTCTGAAAATGAATTTTAGTTTGGATCGTAGCAACCTAAGGTGCATCTAATTCCTCCTCGCAAAATGGGTAGCTTTTTCATCCTTCTTTTTTTAAAAGAAAAATCACAAGAGAATCATATTCCTGGAGGTTCTTCAGAGTCCAGTTTGTTAGCTCATTTCTCAGGATTGTTGGATTTTTCTTCTTTTTCAGAAATGTTATACTATCTTCCGCTAGGTTATTTCATAGGATGTAAAGTTTCTCTCCCCCTCTCTAGTGCTATTACATCTTTCAGGTTTGTTTTGCTACCACCACACACACTTTTCACACTCTACTTGAACTAACGTATAATGTATAGTACAGCTCCTCTTAGCAAGAATGCAGCTCCACAAGATCACCAGATTGCCTTATTTTTCAGCTGCAATGGCATTATATCTGAAAACTACTTCACTAAGGCAACCGAAGCACAAATATTTGTTGTTAATGCAGATGGAATGTGGATCTCGATAGGAGAAATGTGCTCAACATTTACAAAAGGGACTTAAAGGTTTTATTTTCTTTTTTCTTTTTCAAGCCTACTGGTTCAGGGCTTGCTACATTCAAATTGCTACCCCAAAGCAGCCTCAGATAAAGGGTTTACTTAAGTGCCAAAGCAGCAGCAACTGATGACATTGTGCCCACGACGCATTTATTTTCTCTTTTTCTGGTGTGTGTGTTTGTTGTATGTATGGAGCGGCTGAATGAAGTAAGCAAAGAACAAAATGTTGAAACTGAAAGACATTAATCATAGGAGAGCTACAGAAAATGGGGTGTTTGGCTTCAGTGAGGCGAGAACAGCACAGAACAAAAGATTGTTCCAGGCATGAAGGTCAGTGCTGTACATCCAGTGGCAGACGGGGAGAACTTTGCTAGGAGAAAATGCCACTCTTCTGTCATCAGCAAATGAGGTTGCCCTAGGATGTGTGTGTGTGTGTGTGTGTGTGTGTGTGTGTGTGTGTGTGTGCAGAGGAGGGAAGGAGGAGAGGACCCTCAAGAACACCAGCTGGAAACATTCAGGAACACAGGTGGATGCAAAATATGTCAGACCTCGAGGGCACGGTTCTCAAAATGTTTCCCTAGCAGTGGCAAAGCAATCTTGTTAACTACTACAGAAAGAGAAGGATGGTGCAGGAAAGAGGAACACTTCAGCTATTCCCAGTTACAGGAGACATAAAGAGGGGAAGGGAAGGGAAAGTCTGTAGATATCTTGGCCCTCTGAATGGTTTCATTTATTTAAAACGTTTGGAACAGCACTCGTGGTCCATCCAGGGCAGTGAAACCATGTATAAAAATCATCTTAATCACAAACAGGGAAAGACGGATCAGCCTAGTTCCAATCTATGTTGGTTTTGTGCGCACTCAGTCAAATTCCTGTTCCGTTTATTGCGGACTCTTTCTCTAACAGATATGGACAATATACATTTAGATTGTACACATTTTTGGTGCTCGTTTCTCTGAGATCAGAGGCAAAGGTGGGGAGGGCCAGGGGGCGTGTGTCCCTGAGCACACATTTTTGAGGGGGTGCAATCAGGTGCCCCCATGAGAGGCACGGAGCCCTAGCAGCTGAGGTGCAGCAGCAGACAGGTTGGTCTAGTGGGCAGGTGGATGGAGGCAGCGGGCGAGGTGCTTGTTGGAGGCAGGCTCCATTCACATGCATGGGCTCTGTGCACACGCCCCTGGAATGTCCGCCTATCCCAGCTGCCCAGTCCACCAGCAGGGTGCAACACTTGCCAAGCCCTGGATGCCAGCAACCCATGCTACGCCACACATTTTTGTATGCTTTTCTGTGCATTTCTCCCCTAAAATATGTATTGTTAGGTGCATTTTTTGAACTGAAACACCCTTCTTTCTGTCCATATGATTACCTAGAAAGGGATTCTTTGCCACCCAGCTTTTATTGACATGCCTGACATTTTATTTTATTGCTGTATTGTGCTTTTAAGTTATATACCGTCCTGAGGTATTTTATATGAACATGCAGTTTAGAAATATTGAAATGCAAAATAGCTTATAGTATCATATGCCATTTATAACACACAGTTTATAAATATTGTAATTGTTTATAGTATTATTTTTCTTCATCGACATCAAGTCTATCATCCAGATCCCACTTGTGATACCTGCTTTGTATTCCTAATTCTTTGGCATTTATTGCCGCCCTGTTATTTCCAAACATATAGTCCTGTTAAGTGTGAGATAATCGTACAAAGCATGGCAGGTGGCAAGGGAGCTTTCCCTGGGGCAGTGAGCTGGGCTCAGTGGTTTCTTTTCCCGAACCAGCATTGTATGTCATAAT